TTCAGCAGGCAGGGAAAGCTGCGGTTACAGAAGTGGTATGTACCGCTGTCTGACAAGGAAAGGAAGAAGATCTCCAGAGACCTGGTCCAGACCATACTGGCCAGGAAGCCTAAAATGTGCAGCTTCTTGGAGTGGAGGGACCTCAAGATTGTATATAAGAGGTCGGTGAGTAAGATAAGTTTAAATGGCGAAATAACATCCCCACTTTGTCTTTCCCAGGTGACATCAGCGTACAAACATACAGTATTTGAATGCATAATCATGCAAGCCCTAAACTCGTGGACAAACATTCAGAAGAGATGTATTTGCTTTTTCTTGTCACCTGGAAAGGACTTTCAGCATGAGCTTTATCTCTGTTTTCACTGTTGTTATTCCACTTTTTGTGACATGTTGTACAACTTAAAAACTTAAGAAAAAAGTAGCATGTTTACTTTAGATAACTCAAACCAAATCAATCGGATGCTTATTGTGAGACATTGCAGGGACAGTACTTTGCATACATTTTGGGTAGTTAAAGTATAGTGAGAATGCTTTGAAAAATAATGCCATGAATAGGTTTTGTTTACTAACACAAAGTGCAGTCAGTATACAGAAAAACTACATCAAATCAATATTTGCCTCTAAAATGGCACCAATTCTCCTAGGTGCACATGTGCACAGTTTTGCAAGATATTCTGCAGGTACTGTAGGTGGTTCCCAGAATTTTGGAGAAGTTGCCATAGCTCTGTTGTGGACTGAGGCATCTCAGTGTCCTCTGTGTGTTCGTGAAATCCCAAACTGACTCAGTGATGACGAGATCAGGGCTCTATGTGGGCCACACCATCTGCTGTAGGACTATTTGTTCTTCTTGTCACCAAGTTAGTTCTGTACATCGGTATTTATGACTCTGGTTATGTGTTTTCCGTCATTGTCATGCTGCAGAATTCATCTGGGGCACCTCCCTGACGATATTTTGTAATGGATACATATCTAAACATCTTAAGTGCCAAAAACCTTTGCACATCACTATACCTTCAATATTGATTGATTATTGGAGGTGATTTATTTGCCATAATGTGATAACAGATAGTTCTTGTATATTGATTGAGTCTGTTAATATAGGCTGTGAGATATTAGAAAAAATAGCATTTGGACTTTGCTAAAGCTTTAAACATTTCACAGTGGTCTAAAGAAGCTGCCCTCTGATTTCAGTGGTAAATTTTCTTATGCCATGCATTTTATTTAGTAATAGGATGTCTTAATATTTGTTTTGTTACATCACTTCTGTATTTGTGGTGATTTGTTGGGGTGGTTTATGAGAACCAGTTATTCACTGATTATTTTGTCAAGCACTGAGATTTCTGGCATTTACCTCTCACCTTCTGCTGTGTAATTAAAACCAGAAACACTCCCTCTTAACTTTTGAACAAAGGAGGACAATGATACATGTATATAAAGAATGCCTAATTTTTCCAGGATATGTGACTCCAGAGTCATGAAAATACAAAAGACACATCTTCATGTGGTTACTATAATAAACAAAAACAAACAATGAAACTGTCAGAACACAGTGCTGCAGTACTGAAAACAGCATTTCCTTACATCATGATGATATACACTTTCTATTTTGTACTTGTGTACAATATAATACTATGCAATTTAATATCCCTGCAATAGATCCCATTTGTAAAGAGGTTGTGATGTACTGTTTTGTTAATTCACATTTATTATAGTTTTACTTTTGTAAAAAAAAAAAAAAAAAGAAAAGTAAGCTTTAGTTGACTAGATGGTTTCAGTACTGATGGTTTTATTGACTTATCGATACCACTGTGCAAAAAAAATGTGGCCATAAAACCAGAAGCTTTTTGTATGTTTTGGGTGCATATGTAAAATTAACTCTATTTTTTGTTCCATGTTAATTTAAATTCTCTTTCAGTGAAACAAAAAAAGCACTAAACTGCTGTATCTTTAAAGACTGACTGACCTATCTCATTGAATCTCTGTGCTGTCTTATTAAATCTACAGTATGTAGCTTTTTTTCAGATATTCTTGTTGTAGAACTCTGCTCCAAAATGTGTCTTAATGTGGAGGGGGTCTGTCGAAGCCTCATGTGAACCAAACTTATTGAACAGCACTGGCAACAGTACAGAAATTTGAGCTTCTAAAAGATCTTGACCTCTGTAACCAATCAGAGATTTTCAGTTATATCTGCTTGATCATTTTCTTTCATTCTCATTTCTTGTAATTTTATAATGACAAATATCTCAAGAGCTGGGCAGAGTGTGGTTGAGCACAGTGGAGCAGAGAGAGGGAGTGCTGGATGGATGGATGGATACTAATGATATAGCTTTAAACATTTGCAGACTTGAATGTGAATATTGATCTGTTGCATTTCTTATTTCTTTATGTTGTAGATATGCCAGCCTGTATTTCTGCTGTGCTGTAGAGGATCAGGATAACGAGCTGATCACCCTAGAGATCATCCATAGATATGTGGAGTTGCTGGACAAATATTTTGGCAGTGTGAGCCACACATGACACACTCTTCTGCAAGAATCAAAGGTTTTGAGTCAGTAGCGTACCTCCTCTGATGTTCTGCTCTTTGTGGTATTGTGGCCTCACAGGTGTGTGAACTGGATATTATCTTCAACTTTGAGAAGGCTTACTTTATCCTGGATGAGTTCCTACTGGGTGGGGAGGCGCAGGAGACATCCAAGAAGAATGTGCTCAAGGCCATTGAGCAGGCTGATTTGCTGCAGGAGGTATTGTCAAGTGAACAGTACATGAACTAGGGTGGCAACTTATCTTCACTATCAGTTAACCTGCAATTGATTTTATAAATTAATCGATGGAGTGTTTGGTCTGTAAAATGTCTGACATTTGAAAGAAATGTCCATAACAAGTTTCCAGAGCCAAAGGTGATTTCTTCAAAGAACTTGTTTTGCTTTACCAACAGTCCACATGCCAGTGATTTCCTTTTAGTGGTTTAAGACAAAGAAATTCAGCAGTTATGGCTTTTGAGAAGCTGGAACCAGCACTTTTCTGAAATATTTACTTGAAAATGTATTAAATTTAGTAATTATTGCACCTCTAACTTGGTGTAAATGTCAAAAAACTACACTCAGCAACACTGTTTAACCAGAAAGGAGAGTGGGCCTAAGATGCAGGTGTATAGCTTTTTTCACACTGTGCCCACCTGCACCTGCCTGTTTATTTTAGGCTTGCGGTGCTTGATTAATACCCATCTCTTGTGCCGGTGCACTAAAGCAAGTGCTGTCCTGCTTGTTTGCATTGCTGTCTGGCTGCAATCGACAGAATACATGCTCAGTGATTTATTTTTAGCAAAGTAGTGCAGTACTATTGTTACAACAGCATGGCAACAGTCAGCCTGTTCCCATCACACATTAGTTACTTGCAATTATGACTCATGTACTATCAATTATTAATTTGGAGGGGTACTTTGTGCTACAAAATGTTGTCACAGATGAACAGACAGTACATCAGCAAGGTGTTTGTCCTTCTTTTCTTCATCTGCAGGAGGCTGAGGCACCACGGAGCGTATTAGAAGAAATTGGGCTGACATAAACCATCACATTGCTGTATCAGGCAACCTCCATGTCTCTCCATTATCGTTCTGTTCACCATCTATGTACTGTTTTCTTCTGTACTATCTTGTAATGTCCATTCAATGTGGTGCCAACTGTGGGTTTAATGTGTTTGCTTTGTACAGTCCCTCTGACTGTGTACTGCAGTATTGTTAGCATACGTCAGGACCCTGATTTCTTAACACTCCACACACAACAATGTAGCGATATGAAAAATCCAGCGTCATATTAAGATCATCATCACCGATTGCTGAGTTGTGTGATGCTAGGCTTGAAGGTGCTGTTGTAGCACGGTTGGTGCTTCTCATGAATTACCCTCACATTGCAGTGACAGAGCTAAGCCTCTGAATTAATAAAAAATGAATACTCAGCTCAGATCTTTGAAAAGCCCAGAAGGTTGTTTAGCAAAACCTAATAGCTGTTACAGTTTTTGCCTCTGGGGCACTTCTATCTTTACACAGTATCTACTCTCCTCAAATAACCTTCCGCCTGTGTGGTTGAAAATATAATCTGTCTCACACAAGAACAAAAAACCTTTTCTTCATGCAGCTAGGTGGAAATTACATGACTGTGCCCTTAGTGAAGAACAGCTAAATATGGATGCATTTATTTAACTGTATTTTATGTTACAGAAACAGCATATAACAGTATAACTAGCATTTTGATTTTCTACAAATTCAGCAAGGAGACATCATTTTGAGCTAACAACGTTGTTTTAAATTGTTGATGTTTGTCTATAAGGCTGTACATGGTCTGGCACCTTCATATATTTCTGAGCTTGTGCGCTTTTATACTCCAGAAAGGACACTTGGGTCTTCGAACCAGTTGTTCCTGGAAGTGCCGAAGTCCAGACGGAAACATTGGGGAGACCGAGCTTTTTCAGTTCGGGCTCCTATACTGTGGAATGGTCTGCCACGGGAGATTAGATCTGCTCCGAACCTGTCTGTTTTTAAATCACTTCTTAAAACGCATCTGGTCTTAGGTATCTTTATTATTATTATTATTATTATTTGTTTATGTTTTACTGGAAAGCACCTTGTAACGCAGGTTTAGAAAGGTGCTATATAAATAAACTTTGCTTGCTTGCTTGTATGCTTTTAAGAAAATGCAACAATGTAAAATGGCTTAAAAATAACCATAACCCTGCCGCGGAAATCACTGACACTGTCACAAACACTTCTACATGGATACATTTAACCCACCAATTAAGAGAAACCGAACAAGTCAGTGTTGAATCATTATCAGTGTAAATGTTTGCTTGGAGAGTTCTCTCCAGAAATTAACCATTTCATGTTTCCTTTTCAGTTTAGTGTGAGCGTGTGTGGTTGTGTGTCTACATATCAGCCCTGTGATAGACTGGCGACCTGTCCAGGGTGTACCCCGCTTCTGGCCCAATGTCAGCTGGGATTGGCTCCAGCCTCCAGCCCACCCCCCCTCCGTGACCCTATTCAGGAATGAGCGGCAAAGATAATGGATGAATGGATGTTTTTACTGTAACAGCTGTTTCTCTACCTTTAGTGTACCTTTTGTTAACTGTCAGTCTTATGTTTTGTTTTTTGTTTTTTTCCTGATAACGGACTTATTTTTCCTAACAAAAGCATTTGTTTAACATTGAAGTCTGTTACAGCCACTGGAGATAAATCTTAGGTCAAGATACAGTAGTGACCCAAAATAAAAAAGAAACACTACTTTATGTATTATGATACTCTTAAAGACTAACATATGACCAAAGAACACTGTGTTTGACTGTTGCAAAAGTGTCTGTGGAAAGCTAGCATACCAGAAAAGATTTAGGATAGCAAGATGTTTGATCAGAAAAAAAAATGTGTGTAATGGAGGGGGGGGGGGGCTCAATATACCAGTATTATTTAATTATCTCAATTCATTTAAAGACTTTATTTAGATTATCCTGAGGTTCTTTATGGAGTAGGAATGTAATATTAAATGCACATATCAGGATACATTACTCATATTTGTCACAAGCCATTACTTCTGAAAAACCACAAGGTGTTTTGAACATTCATAAAGTTCATCTTTAATGCACAGATCTCTCTTTTGTATTAAACGCATTTGACAAGTTTTTCCTTACATTTGAAAGTTAATAAATGTATTGAAAATGAATACCTATGTGTTGATCCTGTTTTACATTGTTTGTACCTACTCTGTAGCTCAGCAGTGTCACAGCTCCACTGATCGAGTGTTTAATTTTTAAAGCAAAGGCTAAATATTCACATATCTACATATTACAGATGGGTGCTAACTGACGGTCTCAGCAAAAATAAACTTACTTCTTCCTCCCTATACATTCAGACCTATAAGGAGAAAAACCAAAACAAATGTTCAGATTTTCCAACAGGTTCGCTCGTTCTTTCTCTGTCAGACTTCATGTTTCTCCCCAGGACTCAGCTTCTGGGTGTCAGCACTCCCATCTAAGTCACTGCTTTTCTGAATTAACTCTATTTCATGAATCTCTCCATTAGGACTCAATGCAAGATGGTTCTCTCTCTCTTCCTCTGACTCTTTGTCTTTTTCAAACTCTCCTGATGAAGTTGTCTCTTCAGGCAAATGGTTTTTCTTCTTATGCTTCTTCTTGCTCTTTTTCTTGCTCTTCTTGGCATGTTTGTGGCGGTGGTGTGTGTGTGTATCATCATTAGGGGGTTCCCTACTTTTATCTGGTTTATTGGGGCTTCTTTCTGCACTTGTGCGTTTCCTCCCTCTGCCTTCTATGTGACTGTCTTCATTTTTGTCTCTACTGTCTTGATTCTTGTGCCCCCTGTCTTTATCTCTGCTCCTGTTTCTCAGCCTGTCTTGCTCTCTGTCTCTACTTCTACCCCTTGATGCGTCTCTGCTTCTCCTCTGATACCTATCTTTCCTCTTGTCACTGTGTCTGGATCTGGACGACCATGTGTCGTCTCTATCCTGGTAGGAGGCCCTCCTCTCACTGCTCCTGCTCCTCCGCCTGTCACTCTCTCGTCTGCTGCGGGACCTCTCCGGTCTTAGTGGGCTTCTGCTGCAGTGACGCTGCCTCCACGAACGATCTCCGTATCGCTCTGAATGTAACCTGTCTCTGCGACGTCCTCTGATGCTGTGGTCTGGTGACATGTGGAGGTCCCTGTCTGCCTCCCAGAATTCATTGCCAGGGTTTCGAAATACATGCAAGAAGTTACAGTGTTTCCCTTTAGGGCACTTCTGTCTGTCAAACAATCCTGAGGAAAAACAAACAAGAAAGAGTAAATACACCAAAGTAAATAGTTTCCCCGCAATATTAATGCTTCTGTCATTTCAGTAAGATTAAATAAATCACCACATATTGCATTCTTCCACCGTGTAACAGGACATATCTCACAATGAAGCTGCCTGCCTGCATACCACCTCCCATTGAACCTGATGAAGGCCTCTTTACATTGCTCCTCTCTGGACAGCAAAAGAAAGACAAGAGAATAAAGTCAATAGACCATTAAATTATTTGGAAAAAGTCACAGAGTGGTTGTGGGATGACTTACGTCTCAAACTGAATGTAGACATTTCCTCTCAGGTGTGGTTCGTAATTGCAGCTCACCTAAAAGTGGAAAGGTATGAATTAAACCAAATATGTATTATTATTGGTCATAACTTGATCACCATCTCCGGGTCACAGTTTGTGTTTTTGTTTGTATTTAATTATTGTGTTCGTTTCATCTGGCTGCACTGACACAGAAATGTGTCCTCTGTGTGAAGGCTCTGTCATGCAAAGGTGCATGCGTAATGCCGGTTAGAAACCCGAGTGCATTTCACATGGCTGTGAAATCTAGCTAAGGAATTCAGGTTTTTCCAATTCCACATACATGGAGATGACAAAGAAATCAAATTACATCAGAAAGCTGGTATTTGATTGCATATAAACATACTGACTGCCCTGATCTTACCTTGAACTGCACCACCTTGCCAACACTCCTGAACTCTGGCAGGACATCATGGTAGAACTCCAGGAAAGACTCCTGCAGCTCCTCCTCGCTGTGTTCCAAACAAGCATCCATGTCATAATCATCACGGCGTGACTCCTCCAGGCCAAATGTTGTGAACATACCACGGACCATCAGAGTCAGGCTGGCTGTGGGATAAACGTGCTTCCGAGAACATCTGGGCTCCAGAGGTTAGAGAGAGGAGAATATAAAAAGACATGGAGAAAGACCTCTGTAATGTGTCTGTATATCCATTTAAAAACATCACTCAAATAGGTTTATGCCTTTAACTTTGTAAGTCACGTCAAAGAGAAAAAAACGATACCTGTCTCCAAATCGACACGCTCCAGTCTTTAGGAAGAAAGGACAGTTGGCGACGTCACGTTCTGTCCCAAAGTTCTCAGAATTCTCAGTCACAGGAGCTTCAGGATTCATCCACGGTCCTCCGTTATCCAGCTGGAAGTGACAACACAAACAAATAGTATGCATACTACATAGTCTGACTTGACACTAGAATTAAAGGCGCAAATTATCCATTTCATGTACCTCTTAGCTTTTAGTCTTTTGCCAGGTCCAAAGACTTGTCATGGATTTATTGTACTAAAGCAATCAATTCTTTTAAAAGTTTTTCCTGTATTTTTGGTAATTCAGATGTGTGGCAATTTTCTAATTCAGTGATCAGGTTAAAGTTACTCATGCTTGATATAAGTAAACTGAGTTCGGAAAATCAAAAGGTTAAACATTTCTGATGAAAGTCTTTTAGATGTCATTATAAATAAAAGTGACTTATAAATATGCACTAAACAGCACATTTCACAGTTTAAAAAAACTTGGCATTTCTGATAGTATATAATATAGTTTCCTGTTGCTTACCAGCAGACATACACATGACATACATTGTCTGCAGTGAGCCAATACTGTCTAACTTACCGGTTTGGCTAACTTATTGGTGAGGCTCTACAACAGTTATTTCTATTGCAATGATGCCTTAAATACTGTCTATGTATGACATTTAACTTAAAGTGAAAATATATACAGATTACTCAGAGTTCCATCTCATTAAGAGTAGAATACAATACTTAATATAACCAGAAAGTCGGTAAACCCTGGAAAATCGTTTTCATAATATAAAAAAGTTTCTTTGCAGCATTTTACCCATGTATTTTGTGAATTGTGAAGAAATCAAAATGTTCAGTATAAAGTTGTCTGTGTAATGACATTCATGCATGTTTATACCTGATTTTCAGCTTCATCCAACATTTTCTGAACAGCTTCCTACAAATGGTGTAAAGACATGGCTGGTGAAAATGTGTAGAAGTCAATATACCGAAGCATGTCTGTTACTGTAGGTTAAGACCACATTCACAAGGACTGATGGGCACAAAAAATAACTGGCATTTAAGAGGATTCATTTAAAGATTGTTGGACTCTTGCATAGCAACTTCACACAGTTGTCACACGAAGTAAAAGATACATCCTTGTGAGATCTGAAGGTGCTGTAAGGGATTTTCTCTTTGTGTACATCTTTAAAGTTAAGGAGTAGGATGGCTGTTTGTGCCATTCAGTCAAGGAAACATTTAAGACAAACATTGCATGTATAAAGCAAAAAGATATTCTATAAAGGAAATACTCAGCTGTTGAGATATGTTTAGGCATATGATCAACTTTATATTGAGTTGGACAACCTAAATACTCATGATTAAGTAGAAGAGGATATATTTCTTTTTGTTACTATCCTCCTGGGGCCCATTTCACCTCTCTGTCTCGCTTCTCCTGCTGCTTCTGTGCTTTTTCTTCCTCTTCTCTTCTCTGCTGGGCTTCCCATTCCTCTTGTATCATTTGCTATGAACACAAAACATAAAACCAGTGAATATTAATATTTTATGCAGAATAGTCAGTCAAAAAAGCTCACAGGCAATCATCCATAAGCGAAGAGCCCCAAATGTTGGCTAGTAATCCCGTGTCAGGTTCCAATTTTTCATATAATTTGGGAGTAAACTGTAAACTGTCACTGTCACCTGCTGCTAACATTTGAAAGTTTATTGAAGGTGGCACTGAAATGTTAGTTCCTTTAATTAATGCAGTTATTGTTGTTGAAACTGGTCTTTCCATGGGACTTGACAATAGGAAAACACACTATAAAACAGTTCCAGAATCAATCCTTTACATCTTCAGTCAAGCATTTAAAATTAAGCCAAGTCTCTTTGGTGGACATCCTACACTAAACATAAATTACCTAACCCCTACAATATGTCTATAAACTTATTATGTTTACAAAAAAGTAAGGCTGTTTTCAAACTGTGCAGGTTTCTTGAATTGTACATGCACTTTTGGATGGATACAAGTTACCTGTTCCTCCTCTTTTCTTTTCCTTGTAGCTTCCTCCCTCTCAGACCTCAACCTGAATTCCTCCTGAGCGAGCCTCTCTCTTTCCAACCATTCTTCATGTAGCTGCAGTCTAAGAAAACAACAGTCACAAATCAAGCACAATGAAGCTCAATACGAACGGTGCAATCGAGAGCAGCAGAGTGATGTTAGTATTGACCTACCTTTCCTTTTCAACAACATCATTATCCTCATCACCCTCATTTATTTCTTCTTCTTTTTCTGGTGTAGAACCTGCTCCATTTTTTAAACCTGTAATAGAGTCAGTGGCTAATGGTGCAACTACAAATGTAGAAATTACAATTTATCACATTTGACACCATCAACCTAAAGGTCATTGTCATACCACATTCTCTGGCCTGGGCAAGAGCTTGTCGTTTCTGTTTCCTTCTTTTTTTCCTCAGAGCAGCCCGGCGTTGCTTTTGACTAAAAATAATGATAATAATAAGAAGAAGAAGAAGAAAGTCAAAACAATGTTCAGTGCTGCCTTTTGAGCAAATCCAGCAACTTCATTCACACACAAGGAAAACACAAGCACATTAACACCTGTACAAACTAATACACCAGGAAACTGTAGATTGAAATTTAAGATACATAGACCTTTTTCATGGCAGGTACTTTTATCTGTCAAATGCTAGTGTCACATAACAATTAAGTGCTGGAATTGTGTTATTAGTTCCATCTGTGCTTTTTCTGCTATGAAAATGCTTTATGAACCTGACTTAAGAACATTCCAACAAGGATGTCATGATCCAAGATAGCAAGCATTATTCATAAAGTACATGTATTTGTAAAGAGCATGTATTTTTTATGTAAAAATTAAAAGGAATTAAAAGACTAAATCGGTGTTGCCCATCAAGCAAACACCAAATAAAAAAATACAAAAGCTATGTTTAACTCAAGGTCACTATCAATAAGGCAGAAACTTCTCCTGTGTTTAGCAACTGTAAAAACAAAAAAAGGGGCGATTTCACTGCAGAACGGTTCAGAATAAAAACCACAATACCTACACACTCTCCCTGTTAATCTAGTCCACGACTGGCAAGTCAAAGTACTGAAATGGCCCCTGTTTCACAAATAGAAGATAAGATTCACAAACCCGAGGCTGTCAGTCTACTTGTTGTCAATGCCCAGGATTGACAACCGGAAACGTGAATATTTTAAACTATGGTCAATGAAATCACTAACGTTATTGTTTTGATTTCTCAAATGTGGAAGACAGTTTTAATTGGAGATGACGTGCATACAGTGCAAGCTTCATAACGTATAACGTAGCATTAACAGCTAACGCTAACTCTGATGCTAGTCACAGCATTGTAATAACGTTGACACTTTCTTGCGTTATCTTTTACATATTATTAATTAGATGACCGAGTGGATTCAACAAGATCTAAAGATAGACACAGACCTTAACACTGGAGCAGAGATCAATGGGGGGCTGGATGCTGCCATCATACCAAAGGATAACGTTAGCTATTGGTAGCTTGTTAGTGGAAAGTTAGCTTGTTCGGCTAGCGTTGGCACGCCAACGTAGCCACTTTAGCTCGAATTGTTTCCTCTCATGAGTGTTTACAGAAAAAAACATGAGTCCACGTGTTCTCTCACTGAAAGAGTTATTTCTGACGTGGGTCTGGTTTCTCCAAGTGATGATATGACCAAATAATGCAGAGGTTGTTTTTTTTTTACCCACTTGTGGTCGAGGACAACATTGAGTTAACGTAAAGTACTACCGGTTTAAAATCTTCTTCGTCGGACTCGTTCGGCAGTTGGCATCCGTAATGCTGCATTACCGCCACCTTCTGTCTTTAGTCCTTGTCAATCATCTTCTAGCCCAGGCATGGGCAAACTACGGCCTGCGGGCCATATATGGCACGTTAGGCTATTTAGTCCGGCCAGCCGACCTTGTCCAAATTATATTATTAAATTACGTTATCATTAAACCTCATTCCTTTTGACTTTTCCCTGCAATTCCTGTGTTTCTCCCAGTAGGCACTGTAGACACACTGACCTCTCTACTTCACTTTTTTGCTTTGCCCTTTGACCCCTTCTGTAAAAATGAGGGTAAGGTAAGACTTTAATGATCCCACAATGGGGAAATTCCAGTGTGAAAGGACTGCTTTAAGAGATTCACCTGCTTTGAGTTATTATTTAATTTTTACATTTGTATACAACTTCATTTTAATTATTCTTATGCCACTTCAATAGGAATAATTGATGTACTGTATATTTGTTACTTTAATGGAAACAATGAGAATACCTTGCAAGTCATTGCAAATGGCAATGTAACTTTAATATTGTGTAGAACCACACCCATACACAGGGGAACCCGGGGTCTTAGTTGGGTCTAGGAGCGTGTGTGCTGGGCAGGGAGGCTGGGCGGGCGAGTGATGATTAGTGGCAGAGCACACTCCCAGACGGCATAACTGGGCCACCATTTTTTTAACCTTTATAGCCTATTTAACTTTTTGTGTATACATATATACGCGCGCGCGCACACACACGCACACACACACACACACACACAAACACACACACATATCTATGAATATACATGTATTATATATTTCAAAATATAGCAAAAACAGCCATTTAATATATGTGACATATATTTCTACAGTTACACATACTTCATCTGCATAAATGCTCATACACTGACTAGTAATTTATGCCTGCTTACATTAACTGAACATACGTCCCAAAATATGGCCAGTTCTTATGTCATGTATGCATGTGGTATCAAAATATGCCAAAAGTTAATACAGTGGTATCTTTAAGATTCACTTTTTTCTACCGCTTAATCCCTGAACAGGGTCATGGGGGGGGCCGGAGCCAATCCCGGCCCGCAATCGGGCAAAGGCGGGGTACACCCTGGACAAGTCGCCAATCCATCGCAGGGCTAACACATAGACGAACAACCACACACGCGCACACGCACTCCTATGGGCAATTTAGAGACACCAGTCAACCTAAGCTGCATGTCTTTGGACTGTGGGAGGAAGCCGGAGTACTCGGAGAGAACCCACGCAAGCACAGGGAGAACATGCAAACTCCACACAGAAAGGTCCTGGGTGGGGCCTGAACCTGGAATCTTCTCGCTGTGAGGCAACGGTGCTAACCACTGCAGTATCTTTAAGATACTTGCACAAATACCAAGTCACACTTTGGACTTTTACTAGAGAACTCAAATTTCCAGCCCCTGCACTAGCTTTTTAAACATCTCTTTATTTTGGCTATTCACATAATTTCAGGATGTGCTCTCAGCTATCTTTACTGCTGTAGGTGTGGTAAGCAGTACCTGGTATGGACCTTCCCACCTTGCACTGGACCATTTTATTCCTTTTAATCACCTTCAGTAGCACCCAATCTCCAGGTTTCACAGGTTCAATCTGCAGCTCCACTGGTTCTCCTAGAACAGAATTAATGCAAACTATCTCCTTGTATGTTAGCATTTTTACCATATAATCTGCCAGAGTTTGTCCAGCTTCTTCATCTGAACACTGGAAAGGTTTTAGCTGTGGAATGATGTAAGGTCTGCCATACATTAACTCAAAGGTTGTTAACCCACCTACTGTGGGGGTTACATGCATGTTTTAGAGTACTAATGGCAGGCAATAAACCCAGTTCTTTTAGAGTAGTTTGAAAATCCATATGCTGTGAACACTTTGCCTATCATGGCTGTCATCCCTCCTGTTGAGACATGACTTTGTCCATGGCTCAAAATTGCAGCATATCTGAAAAGACTATTTGGTAGGATAGGTTTTCCTTCTGGTCATTTATACAGTTCTGTTTTTTCATTAAAGGTCACCCCCTTTTTCTTCCATTTTTGAACATCAGCTTGTGGTGCTGCTTTCTGCATATCTTTTAAGACAGTGTGGTCTATTTGAGATGTGCCATCTACTGTCAGTAACACTGTTTGTGATGCTTTCTTAGCTTCCTCATCAGCTCTGTGGTTACCCTGTGATATGGGATCTGTCCCTTTAGTGTGTGCTGCACACTTACAAATCGCTACTTTTTTTTGGTAACTGTATAGCATCTAAGAGATTTAAGATTAGATCTCTGTGGTTGATTGGCTTCCCTGTGGAACTCACCATGCCTTGATTTTTCCATTGTTGTGCAAAAATGTGCACTGTTGAAAACGCATATTGACTGTCAGTGTAAATATTGGCTATTTTCCCTTCAGCTAATTTACACGCCTCTGTCAACGCCACTAACTCTGCTGCTTGAGCAGAGTAGTGTTTTGGGAGGGGTTTTGCTGTCAGTACAGCATCATGTGTCACCACAGCAAACCCGGTTGCATTTATTCCATCTGGGTTTTTCTTACTTCACACATCTACAAAATTAGTTATGTCTGCATTGTCATAGGGTACATCAGTTAAATCCAGCCTAGGGAGCACTTTCTCTGCTATTTCTGATAAGCAGTCATGAGGTGTCCCATCTGATGCTGTAGGAATGAGCATGGCTGGGTTCAATGTTGTGCATCTTTCAATGTTAGGTGTGGTTGTGATAGTAACAGTTGTGCATGAGAGATGTCTGGACGGTGACAAATAGGAGACTTTGTCTTGGAACAGTAACACTGCTACTAAGCGTTAGAGGATGAAATAGTACAATGGAGGCTGATGCTTGTACTGCCATAGATGCTGCTACAACAGCTTGCCCACAAGGTGGCAGTGCTCTAGCTACAGCATCCAGTCGACTTGAATAATAGGCTATAGGTTTATGTTTTCCCCCATAAGTTTGCATCAAAACTGACGTCATGTGTCCCCCCTTACAGTCAACAGTTTGAAAAAAGGGTTTAGAGTAGTTTGGAAAACCTAACGTAGCAGAATTCACTAGCATTTGTTTAACCTGTGTGAAAGCTTTTTCTGCTTCCTCTGTCCAAGTGATTTGATCTGCTGCTGCTAGCGGAATGTCATAGATCAGTGCCATTAAAGGAGCTGTGACAGCTGCATAGTTGGAAATCCAGCTCCTGCAAAAATGTATCATTCCTAAAAATGAAAATATTTGTCTTTTTGTTTATGGTGTGGGTGCTTGTAAAATAGCAGTTTTTCTGGTCTCATCTAAATGCTTCCCCTCCTTTGAGAGGTTGTAATAAGAGTGTGCATGAAAGATGCCAAGTTTGTCAGCTGTAGGCAGCTCTCAGTGCAGTTTCCCATAACAGGGGTCTGGTCTTGGGGAATGTTTAAAGCACAGTCACATAAGAATTAAATGTCTTCCCCATTCATTTTTAGACAAGGTTGTGTAAAAAAAAAAACAAAATGAATGAAATAAATTAACACAACATACAAAACACAGCATTATAACACCTTGTTAGTTTAGTATATCATTTTACTAGCGCAGCTCGTTTGTGTGTGTGTATATGTTTGTGGACCTCTGACCTGTCTGCTCCTGATCACAGTCCAGTCCTGTTTTCCAACATTTCTTCCCTTTTGTGCCTACTCTCACGGGCCCACTGACCAGCTTACTGCACATGTAATATGGCTGGTTGTCAGGTCAGCTCCGGTGTCCTGTTCCTTTGCCTCTACCTCTGCCCCTGTATGCACCTCCTCCCCTGCAGCCACCGCCAGGACCTGTTCACTCTGGAAATAAACAGCAGAAACTTCTCCTCTCTAGGAGCTATTAACACAAATGCAGTAGACTTCTTTCTGCCTTCTTTCCGTTTTTAAAATGGCTTTCTGTATGTTTGGCAAGTTCTAAAGTATCATTAAATGGGCAATGATTTACTTGATGTCTTTGTATCAAAACTGTTGATTTGGGGCAGGCAGCCTCTCAAATCAAAATTTAATCAGAGGCAGTGTATCAGCCACATACGTTCTGTTGAACTGGTTTTCTTTCAGTGCTAAAGATTCTTCTAAAAATTCACACATTCGTGAGGTTGGTACAATATACAGCAACACAACAGTTTTGTTGTAATGATTTAGGGCAGTGTTGCAATCGGTTCTTTTTACCATACTGACTCTGAGAGACGAAGCAGTCCAGGTAACTTCAAAACAGTGCTGATTTATTCAATGAACACAGGTAAAAATTAACATTACACGCTCAGGTATCTTGTACCTCCAACATGCAAGCAGGGAGCTGAAAGATGAAAGACCCCGAACCACAACACGCCTATACATTATCACTTCGGGCTAACAACATACTACAGGGAGAGACGGCGACCGTGACGTCTCCTAGGGACAGCTTTGCAGCTGGCCATAGCAGTAGCCAAAACATGAGGAAAAAATCAACATGTGAATGTCTGTTGATTATGTGGTGTGTAGCTAAAAACATTCTAACACGACCTCTAGTGCCATGTCATGACATTAAACATAAGAAAATATTATGGCTATGGCTACAGTTATACACATCATAATAATAATATTAAACATCCTGTCTCCTGACAGTCATCAACTTTCTATCTAGTTATCCTTGACCATAAGCCTCCTGCAGCACTCATGAGAATGCCTAAACTAGACACCCTGTCTGCTCTAAACATTCCTAATCCATCAAATATCTAACCAATATCTATCTGACTAAAAATACCTAACAGGGGTCCTGTCTACACCGTCCGGCGTCTCCTCCGATCCCGGAGACGTGGCCGGGGAAACCAATACCTGGTAAAATGGGAGGGTTATGGTCCTGAGGAGCGGTCCTGGGTTCCTTCCCGCCATATTGTGGACCCTTCCCTCACCCACGACTTCCATTGGGCCCATCCTGACCAGCCTGGGGGCGGCCGCGGGGGGTC